GAGAGAGAGAGAGAGTAGAATTCGTAGATCATCTAGGATTTGGATTTTTAAGGGTGGATACCTTCTCTATTACTACTGTTAGTTGTTAGTGCTGTCAGGCTTTTCATTAAATATTCTAACTTATGCCTTTTTCTTTTTTAAAAAATATTTGTTAATGTGCAGTCTCGTGCTGTTGTTGTTGAAAACTTACCTTCAGATCACTCTCATCAAAACCTTGAGAAGATTTTCGGTGTAGTTGGAAGGTAAAGCATCTCCAGTTTTATTCTTGATTCTATCTTATTGCTTGAGTCATATAAGGTCTTTATTAAATGCTATCTATCTTTTGCAGCGTGAAGACTGTCCGAGTTTGTAATCCACCAGCTTCTAGTACCTCAGGTTCCTTATCATCTAAGTCTCCTAAAACTGACATGCTCGTGAGTAACAAGGTATTGATGTTTCATATTATCAATTACGAACTCAGATGTTTTTGTACCTTCCTGCTGCACAACAAAATCGAGCAATGAGCTGAACTTAAACATTCTCTTCTTGGTGATGAAACTGAGAGCGTTAGTAATCTTTTGCATTATCCATATTATGTCATACTGAATATAAGAGAGTAGTTCTTTTATTAGTCCTCCAGATATGAGTGGAAATACCCATCACTACAAATAGAAGTTGATTAGGCCTTAGTAAAATGTCCTTTTAATCCTTTTAATATAGAAGATTTAAGTGGGACTTAAATAATCCCTCAAACCAATTACTGGCTTGGATGTTGGATCTTATCTATCTTTTGTAGAAAGGATGCCAAAGTGCTTTGCATAATCTCAAGGGGAAGTTGATCAGAATGGTGGGGTGATTGGAGTTGGTCATGTAATCCTTTTTATGTTTGGTGTTGAGGAGTTCTCTAAAGGTTTCAGTTGTTTCAAAGAAGATCAAATCACAGTTTTTCATGAGGGGTATTTTAGTCATTCTTTATTTGAATTTTTTTTTTTTTGTTGGATACACCCTGTGTTGATGTAGGATACCCCAAATTTCATAGAAAAATAATATTTTAAAAATAAAAAACTGAAACATATCTAGGCCATTGGGCATACAAGATGAGATGTGCAAGTGGGTGTAGCTCATCTTTTTCATATGTGTGTGTGCGCGTGTGTGTTTGTGTATGTGCATATGTGTATTTATTTATTTTATGCATGCATATTCTCCAATGGTATTACAAGTCTTATTTTACATATATCTGGGGGAAAGTATGCATTAACCCAATGGACTATAAGAAGACCACAATCCTTAGGATCATTGTTGTCCATTGACATGATTGACGGTGATGGAGATAGTTGGGTTGAGTGATGTTATCTGGTGGTTCCTATTCCCTACCACTGTCCATTGTTTCAATGGACAGTAATGACCCAGTGGATTATGGTTTCCCTAAGTCCATGGATTAGATTATAATCTTCCTAACAATGTTGTCTGCCGAACAATAACTTCTATTATTTTTATTGATTTGTGAAGCTGCATGCTCTCGTGGAGTTCGAGACTGTTGAGCAAGCTGAGAAAGCAGTGAGTGTACTTGAACATTGAGAACATACTATTTCAGCTTTCATTCTTTGTCTCTTCCTTGAATAATGATAAATTTATTCTCTGGGATTGAGCAGGTTGCAGAATTGAATAATGAAAAGAACTGGCGGAGCGGTCTCAGAGTGCGACATCTTCTTAGACGTTCAGTGAGGCCCCAGTTCAACAACTCATTTTTTTGCCGTAGCAAAAAATCTTTCTAATACTTGGGCATGAGTGGGTGGCATGCCAAGCGAGCAACTTAGGGAATGGTTAGCAGAATGCCACAAAGAAGCCTGGATTTGGCCTAATGGATAAAAGAAAAAACATCTCTTTTTCCTCTGTCCACAAAGACTTGGTTGTTGTTCCACATGATTAACCATTGCCCATAGATGCAGTTAAATATATGGCTTGGATATGACTATCTCGACTTTCAAAAGCAGCCTCTGTATACATGGACAATGTTAAATATGAACACAAGTATATGCACTCAAGCATGTCTCACAAAAACATATATTTTGAGAGAGAGAGAGAGAGAGAGAGTTGGTACATGCCCAATAAAAAAGTTATGCAAAAGTAGATAGGTACATATTTACATCTATAATAAGTATGCATATAACTATAAGCCAATAGGCACTCTTGCATACAATAGGCAAATGCATGCATAACATGCCAGTGATCCCTATTATGCCTCAATGTTCATTAACTTGTTGAAAAATGAGCTCACTCTCTTTGGTATTTTTGATTATGGATTTTCCATTATTCCTCTTCATGTGCAGCCCAAGTCTGTTAGGTGTAGGAAGCTGGACTGCGACAATACTGACGTGAATTGCGAAGACGATGCAGCTCTGCCCTCCAACGAGTCTGTGGAAGATGGCTCTCAATCTTCCAAACAGCCAGCAGAACAAAATGTAAACCTCCATCCTCTGTTTCCTTCCCTAGCATCATCGTTTTTTTCGTTTTTTGGGTGACAATTTCACTATCGTCTGTTTCTCTCTAATACAATTGTTTCTCTTGGCAAATTCTCACTATCCAATGTTTCAAATTACCTCACTTTCTTTTTGTCATACCAATCTTGTTTTCTCTGCAAATTTTCTGAGTCCCCTGTTTCTCTCAATTATCATGCACTCTCTTTCTATGGTTAAAACCACTCTCCTCTGATTCTCTCTCAATCACACTATTTCTCATGATATATCCTCTGAACATCCTCCATTACTCTCCCTTCAACTCTGTTTTTTGGTAAATTCTCTTACCATATTCTGTTTCTACCTACCAAACTTTCTCTCGGCAAAATCTCTCACTGTCCTCTGTTTCATTTCCTACCACTCTTGTTTTCTTGGCAAATTCTCTCACTGACTGTTTCATTCTCTACTACTTTTATTCTTTTGCCCAGTTCACAGTATCGCATAATTCTTATATATTTGTTGCCATATTTTGAGTTCTGACAGGGTGATGATGATGTGGAGGAGAGAGAAGGTGGGTCCAGGAGAGGGAGGGGACGAGGGAGGGGAAGGTCTCGTGGGGCCGGGCAGGGTAGGCCCCCCTCTCAGCTTGGAAATGTGGGCTCCACCCAGTCTGAGAGCACGAACAAGCAGACGCCACATAGCCCAAGAATGCCTGATGGAACTCGTGGGTTCACGATGGGGCGTGGAAAATCGGTGATCTCTTCACTGTCAGCATTGGATTAAAAGGAATCCAAGCTTCATTTTCTCAAATGGTTTACGTTTTTTATGAGGTGCATGCTTTTCAGGGCTTTTCTTATTGCTCTTTTTGTTGTTATTTAGTTGTGGTATATGTAGTTTGTGTATTGCTAGAAGGTGTTTGTGTGAGGGGGTTCTACCATTATCTAGGCACTTGCGTTCTTTTCCTTTTTTGTTTATTTGTTTGAGAAGGGTGATGCAAAGTACAAAAAATGGGTAAAGAGAGTTCCTATATTAGAGATGAGTTATGTAATGCAAGATATGGAGTAGTGCAGACTTAGAAGTAAAAAATGGGTAAAGAGAGTTCCTATATTAGAGATGAGGTATGTAATGCAAGATATGGAGTGGCGAGGACTTAGAAGTTAAGTTTATGTGCTTGTTCAAATAAAAGAAACTGCTTTTTAAGATCATCTATGTGTTCAATTGTTGGATGTTATTCTAGCATTTCCATGACTGATTCCCCACTTCTCTTTTTGTTTTGTTTCATTATGATTTCTGGTTTGGGTAAAAGATTATATAATTCAACAGATTTAATTTGTAGTGTAAATCACTTGGAAAAGAAGAATCCTGTACAGTGCGCACACATGTCGATCTTGTCCATGCACTCAGAAACTAAATGTGGGAAAAAATAAAAATAAAAAAAAGTATTTGCTCAAAAGAGACAAGGTGAGAAATGAATCTATCTCTTTTTAGTGAACAAAGTGTCCATATAATGAATGATGAGCTAGTAGCTCTTCAAGAACTCAAAATAAATTTATTTTTTGAATATTTTTATCAACTTAAAAATGTACAAAATTTCAGCTCAAAAAGATCTCTCTAGCAAATACATTTTAGAGCTTGGCCTGGATTACAACGTATAAACGTTATTCCCTTGTGATTGTTTTCGGAGATTTTAGCTTTTTGTTGCCAGCTTTACCTGCCGGCCAAACCCCTTTACACTATTGGAGCTTTTTTGGGGACAAAAAAAAACGGACATGATGTGGACTATGAAATATTATGGATATTTTTTAATAACAGCAAAAGATATTTACTTCAGTTTCATATCATAAAATCAATAAATGTTAATCGTAGGTCATGCATAAAACAGTATTGAAAACTACTACCTGGGCCGATTACTCGGCCCATGCCCGATGTCAGCATTCAGACCATTCCGAGTAACTCGGCCAAAGTAGTGCTGTAGCAACAAAAAAAAAAGGTTCAAAAAATTATAAATAGCACAAAAGAAACCAAAAAGATTAATGAAATGTATGTTTAAAGTACGATTAAGCAAAGCACAACAAAATGAGGTTAAAAAAATAGTAAAAAAATAGATTTAAAAAAAATCAGAACGTATTTCTTAAATAATCCAAAAAAGATGGGAAAATATAAAAATAAGTATTTATGGCCAAAACACTTTCTCATCTTTACCAAAGTGATGGAAAATATAATAAATAAATAAATAAACCATATCCAAATAAATTCCTGATTTTTTAGAATTTTTTTATGATTGAACAACTCGGTCTTGGCAAGGGTTGAGCCCAAGCAACTCGGCCAAGTAAAAACTACTCAGCTGATTTTAGGAAAGAAAGTAGCCCTTACCAATTTTAAAGAAAAAAGTTTATATAAAGTTGCAACCTTAAAATGTAGAATTACAGATGCACCTCAGAAATCCATTGGGAAAGGTTGTTTTAATGTTGAAAAACCCTCTAATTGATCATCTCGACATCAAGATGTATGAATCTGAAAAAAAAAAAAATAAAAAAAAAAAATTGAATCCCCAAAATAGTACATCTTACATCACATTATCTAGATCATCCATTTTCAAGATTTTCATAGGTTTATCGATCCACTTGATTTTAACCATTTTTAGAGTTTAAAATTTTATTAATTAGATATGGAAATAAATTTTCAGATAATTCTAAAAAAAAGTTTTAACATCAAAATTACATGTTATAATAAAATTGTGAGGTGGGCCTTAATTAGATTGTTTAGAGTTGCAACCTTGTAAAAACCACACCCAATTTTAAAAGTTGCATTCAAATTTGTACATGGCACTGCTAATTAGTAGAAAGTAACACAAAATAAATATGCAATCTCCATTCGCCCATGCTGCTTTAAAGCTATTTTACAGAAAAGAGAACAAAAAAACATTATTTAATCACCATTGGCCAGCAATTTAAGGCTAATTAGTAGAAAATAACACAAAATAAATATGTAATCCCCATTGGCCCATGCTGTTTTAAAGCTATTTTACAGAAAAGATAAAAAAAAAATTTACAAAAAAAACAAATTACAAAAAAAAAAAACACAAAATAAATATGTAATCTCCATTGGCCATGCTGCTTTAAAGCTATTTTATAGAAAAGAGAACAAAAAAACACTATTTAATCACCGGCAATTTAAGGCTAACTAGTAGAAATAACACAATATAAATATGTAATCCCCATTGGCCCATGCTGTTTTAAAGTTATTTTGCTATTTTACAGAAAAGATAACAATAAAAACATTATTTAATTACCATTGGCCGGCAATTTAAGGCTAATTAGTAGAAAATAGCACAAAATAAATATGTAATCCCCATTGGCCCATGCTGTATTAAAGCTACTTTACAGAAAAGATTAAAAAATTTTTACAAAAATAAAAAAATTATATAAAAAAACACAAAATAAATATGTAATCTCCATTGGCCATGCTGCTTTGAAGCTATTTTACAGAAAAGAGAACAAAAAAACGCTATTTAATCATTAAGGCTAATTAGTAGAAAATAACACAAAATAAATATGTAATCCCCATGGGCCCATGCTGTTTTAAAGTTATTTTGCTATTTTCCTGAAAAGAGAACAAAAAAACATTATTTAATCACCATTGGCCAGCAATTTAAGGCTAATTAGTAGAAAATAACACAAAATAACTATGTAATCCTTGGCCCATGCTGTTTTAAAGCTATTTTACAGAAAAGATAAAAAAACATTGTACAAAAAAGAAAAAAATTTATAGAACAAAAAACACAAAATAAATATGTAATCTCCATTCGCCATGCTATTTTATAGAAAAGATAAATAAATAGATAATAATAATAGTACAAATTATTTTTATAGAAAAGATAAATAAATAGATAATAATAAAAATTAAGATACATGAATAGATAATAATAAAAATTAAGATACATGAATAGATAATCATAAAAATTAAGATAAATGAATAGATAATAAAAAAAATTAAGATAAATGAATAGATAATAATAAAAATTAAGATAAATGAATAGATAATAATAAAAATTAAGATAAATGAATAGATAATAATAAAAATTAAGATAAATAAATAGATAATAATAAAAATTGAGATAAATAAATAATTAATTTAAAACCAATTCAATGGCCCATGCAGGTCTCGAACCTGCGACCTTCGCGTTATTAGCACGACGCTCTAACCAACTGAGCTAATAGGCCAGATGTTAATTTTCTCTCAGCAAGTATTAAAATACAAATACTGAAATTTCTAAATCTTTTTTCCACTCACCATTCAATAAGTTAAAAAAAAAAAAATTAGCGCCATGGCAGTGGGCAAACCTCGTCACCACGAAGAGGTCAACCCGCATAAACCAGAAATAAGAACACACAGGTGCCTCTCTCTCTTGCGAAAACCAATCAACATAGACCAATTCAAGGAAATTCATGCCTTTTTCATTGTAAAGGGCTTTGGAAACGTGAGCTTTTTCGCCACCAAGCTTGTAGATTTCTGCAACTCCAACAAGAAACTCAAATACGCTCTCAAAATATTCAATCAAATTCCCAACCAATGCTCTTTTTTGTTCACGTCCATGATAAGGGGTCACTCGACAAATGGATTTTATCAAGAATCCATTGCCTTTTTTCTTCATATGTTGCGCAAGGGGATCAAGCCAAACCATTTGACCTTCCCTTTTGTTTTGAAAGCTTGTGGTGCATTAATGGGGGAGAAATTGGGTAAAATGGTTCATGCTCACACAGAAAAATCTGGCTTCTGGTGTGATTCTTATGTGCAAAAATCGCTTTTGGATCTTTATGCTAAGTTGGGTTTATTTGAACAAGCACGCCAAGTATTTGATACGATACCCGCAAGAGATATCGTGGCCCATACTTGTATGGTGTCCGCATATAACAAGGTTTCGGATATTAGTTCAGCTCGTCTAGTTTTTGATAGTGTATCAGAAAAAGATATTGTTCTATGGACCGCCATGATTGTTGGGTACTCTCAAAATGGGGCACCTGATGAAGCTTTGGCATTGTTTCGAAGCATGAAGAGCACCAGCGTAAAGCCTAATTATGTGACACTGGCTAGTGTCATATCGTGTTGTGCACAATTGGGGGAGTTCGAGGAGGCAAGGATGCTTCATGAATCTATGGAGGTCGATGAGAGAGCGAATCCAATAGTTTGCACTGCTTTGTTAGATATGTATGCAAAAGGTGGCTATGTAAAAGATGCTCTTGATTTATTCAATAAGATGAGCCAAAAAGATGTAGTCTCATGGAATGCATTAATAACCGGGCTTTCAAAGAGCGGGTATGGCACCGAGGCCTTAGAACTCTTTTGGAGGATAAGAGATTCGAATTTGGAGCCAGATGAGGTCACCTTACTAGGGGCTTTGGCTTCATGTTCCCAACTAGGAGCTCTAAGCATGGGTGTAGAGATTAACAAATTGGCACAGGATATGTGTTTGGATTCTGATCCAACAGTGGGGACGGCTATCTTGGACATGTATGCAAAATGTGGTAATATACACGAGGCCCGAAGGGTTTTTGAGGGCCTACATCGCAGAGATGTGATAGCATGGAGTGCCATGATAAATGCCTATGCTATACATGGAGAATGGAAGGAAGCAATCTCTCTCTTCTCTAGTATGTTAAGGGAAGGTCTCAGGCCTAATTTTGTGACCTTTGTGGGCATTTTGGTTGCTTGCTCACATGGGGGTTTGGTCCCTGAGGGATATGACTACTTTAACTCTATGAGAGAGGTTTATGGCGTGGAGCCAAGAATGGAGCATTACGCATGTATGGTCGATCTCTTAGGTCGAAAAGGAAGGCTTCAAGAGGCGCGAGAGTTCATAGATAGCATGCCTTTTGAGCCAGGGCCGACAATCTGGGGCTCATTGCTTGGGGCCTGTGCAAAGCACGGAAATGCGAGAATGGCTGAGCATCCGGCTCGACACTTGTTTGAATTGGAACCCGATGACAATGGAAATTATGTGACTTTATCTAATATATATGCAAATTCATCGAGGTGGGAGGAAGTTATGAGCACAAGGAATAAAGAGAGAGAGCAAGGGGAGCACAAGACACCAGGGTACAGTTGGATTGAGGTTGGGGGTGTCATCTATGAATTCTTAGTGGGAGATAGGAGCCACCCTCAAAGCCATGAGATATACAGTGTGTTAGGTGGATTGGCAGTGAACATGGGCCTAGGGGTTCTAACATAAGTAGTAAGCTTGATTCTTGACTTCTTTTACTGATATGGGGTTCTTGGATGACATTCACAAAAATATAAGTATGGTTGGACCAATTGATGGTCCCTGAACTTAGTTCATCAGTACAAATATGTTGTACAATTACATTATAATACATTGGTCTACCTTTTTCAAAGGTTTCTTTGAACACAATCTGAGGGACATGGTTGTACATTTTGTAAGTGTGTGGGTTTGTGTGTGTGAGAGTGAGAGAAAGAGAAGGGGGGAGAGATTGATTCCTTCAGATTCCCTTAATGTCTTTTAAAAGAATAGAAATAATAAAAAATAAATAAAAGCAAAATATCCAAAAAACCTACCCAAAAAAGTAAAACCTACAATAATATACTTATTGAAGCAAAAAAAACCATTAAATTGAATAAAAGAAACAACCTATTTGATAGATTTTAAAAAGATATGTTGTTCAAAAATTTTCTCAATATAAAAAAACAATGTAATAAACTTGTTGGATTGATGGCCAGAATCCCCGTTAGAAGTCGCCAAAATTTAGCCATAGATATGTGGGGTTTTCAGGTTGACAGAGAAAAATTGCTAAAGTTGTTCTCTCTCTCTCTCAAACAAGCCGAAATATTCGAACCTCATCATAAATTCCTGGTTGCCTAAACCATTGATTGTGGTTGAATCTCTCTTCCTCTTTATAATGATACTCTTGATTTAGAGAAAAAGATTTCATTAGATTAATTTTTTTTAATAAAAACTCAGCCTTTTCTTTTGAGATATGCAATAGCTTTGAGAGATTTATATTGGGATAAGGCTTGGATGATGATGTATCAACAATACTAATCATAAATACTTGACAAATTTTATGTTTAAATTTTCATTAAATACAACAATGCTTGCTCTATTGTCGATACGCAAATCAGACGACGGATTAATTGGAGGGTACAATGAAGCATCACAAAAACTACCAAGCATAATATTTACATTAATAAATAACAAGGATTGTAATATGATTAATGTTAGAAGGAAAAAAATTGCTTACTTCTACCGAATAATATCCATAAACAAAACCAAATATTCGAACCCCATCCTGATTTCCTAGTTGCCTAAATAAACAAAAGCAAATATTCATGCCTCATCCTGAATTCCTAGTTGCCTAAACCAAATATTCATACGTCATCCTGAATTCCTAGGTAGTGACTGAATCTATCTCTTGCTCTTTGTAATGATACTCTTGGTTTAGAGAAAAAAATGTCATTAGGTTAATCTTTTATATAACGCCATCTTTTTTTTTAGATATACAGTTGCTTTGAGAGTCAAGGGTTAGCATTGAGCTCGTACCTTTTTGTTTTAGTTATGGATAACTTAACTAAGCATCTACAAGATGAAGTACCGTGGTGCATGTTGTTCGCAGATGACATAGTTTTAATTGATGATACCCAAAATAGTATCAATACAAAGTTAAAGCTTTGGAGGGATGCTATAAAATGCAAAAGTTTTTAAAGTAGTTGGATTAAGACATAGTATATGAAGTGCAAGTTTAGTAATAATAAGAGTAGAGACGAGGAAGTACAAAAAACATCGCACTTTTGATATCTTGGGTCCATAATTCAAGAAAATTGAGAGATCGAAGAAGATAACGCACACAAAATTAGAGTTGGGTAGGCGAAGTGGAGATGTACAAGTGGAAGGACTGAAAAAGAGGGGTAGGCCCAAAAAGACATGGTTGGAAGTAGTATGAAAAGATATGGGGTCTTATGACCTCACTGAAAATATGGCCTGTAATAGAGCAGAATGGAGAGCCAGGATTCATGTGGCCGACCCCAACTAAAATGATGATGATGATGGCAGTTGCTTTGAGAGATTATTTTTTATAGGATTATATTAAATTAGGATAAGGCTCGGATGATGACGATGATAAATACATTCCTTGTGTTTTTTAGGAATACATTATAATTTTTAAGAAAATTTGTTTGTGAAAAGTTTATATGGAACTTTTTGTTAAATCAACATTATTAATTTAAGGACCCAGTTTTTATGCAGCCAAGCCTGCATATGTAGAAATGCAGGCCTATTAATAAATCCATTTTTGAGATGTATTTTTGGACTTAATTTTTAACTACATGTAATCTCTAATATGAAGATCATGAATATAAAATAATAAGTAAATTTTAAAAACTAGAAATAATAATCTAATAAGAAAACATTTGGACTATTAGTTTCCATTATTTTTAGAATGAATACCTACTTGCATCCATCGTTAAGATGGATGTTTTTCATTTGTGGACCGCATATGTAGTTATGCGGTCCAGCCAGCATGAAATAATTTTCCTTAATTTAATCTCTCTTTTGGAGACTTCTTTTCGGTCTATGCAACAGCCAACCAGTAGGGTGAATGTTCTCATCTCAAAACCAAAATTTAAAAATTTTAAATCAATAAAGGGAGTGGAAGTTTCATTCATGTTACGGGGAAGAAGGTTTTTTATTTTTTATTTTTATTTATTTATTTATAATAAAGTACAGATGTATATAAGTTTTAATAAAAAAGCACGATTGTTTGAAGACCTATTGAAAAACTCGACATTCTTAATGGATATAAAAAAGAAAAAATATATCCTATTTTTAGATTTTATTTCTTAATAAACTCAACTTTTCAAAAAATATATTCCAACCCCCTGGCCACTTTAGACTAGTTTTTTTAATATAAACAAATATGATAAAGATATACTCTTTCTAAATTCATTCCCTTCTCTCTTCATTTATATATTCCAAACTTGTCTCTTTCTCTCTTTTCCTACTGTTTCACTCTCTCTCTTTCCACGTTTATCCAACTACCTCTCTCTCTCCCTATATTTATCTAAACACCTCTCTTCTCTCGTATTTATCAAAATACCTCTCTCTCCTCTCGATAACTTCTCATCATTAAGCATCTTTCTCCTCTTATGTTTATCCAAGTACCTCTTTCTCTTCTTATGTTTATCCAAACACCTATCTTTCTCATCTCGGTGACCTTTCACTACCAAACACCTCTCTCTCTCTCTCCGTACACATCTCTTTCTCTCTGTATACTTATTGTATATTTAAGAGGAGAGAGAGTGAAAAAATGTAGAGAGAGCTAGAGAAAGAGAGTGAGGGGTTAGAAGTAAGAAAGATGGAGAGAGAAAGGTATGGGGAGAGAGAGAGAGAACTTTGAGAAGATAGCTTATAGAAAATACATATCTTTTTAGGTTTATTTGGCCTAAAAAAAAAAGTTTAAAGTAGCTTAGGGGGTTACAAGAAATAAAATGTTAAATTTTTATGTTTTAAGATATCTTTTAAAACTTTGAGTCTATTGTAAAATGAAATCTAAAAATAGAAGGTATCGAGATATTTTCCTTATAAAAAAAACAGGAGATTTTTTTAATAATCATGTTTTAATCGTAACGTTGCTAATTATGATTATAACAACGAACTGCCCATCTTATGGGAATTCTAATGCTAACCCCCCCCCCCAACCAAAAAAAAAAAAAACTACACTCTCACCCACGCCCAAAAAAATAAATACGGATAACCCAACATTTAAAAAAAAAAAAACAACAACGTGGTTAGACAACTGTAAAATTGGCATAAATACTGATCCTATACATCTTTTACTTATGGCACTGACCCTCTCACTCATGGTACTGGCGTAATTTTTCGAACCAATTTCAACTGGACTGGACCGTGTCCAAACGTGGTAAATCAACTCTCTATCTGTACCTTCTCCTTTTTGAATTGAGACTCTCTGCAATATCCTCGTCACTACAAAAATAGAAAAAGCATTAATGCAGTTAAATGCAATAGCCTATTTCCTAGCCTGTAAATCTGAAAAACACGGCAGAAATGGATGCCTTAAAATATCCTTTGAAAGTGAAAGAAAACCAACTCAATTATACCACTATACACAAACGCTGTATTGAAATATTGTATATGTTACACCATAGAGACATCCACCCCTGTTCTTCTCAATGATTACACTTAATCAGATACGGTCAATCCCCGCCGTCCATTAATGGAGCAGGGTGCTAAATGATCCTCTGGTGTAACATATACAGACCCCAATTGTGCATGGTATGCTTTCCATAAAAATTCAGTCTTAGATAGCTCCTTAGGCAAACAATGGGTCCATGCACAAGGAAAGCAATCTCATTATTCATAGACAGTATTCATCATCCTAAAATAGACATTTATTTATTTTTTGCATTTAAATCCAAGAAAACTTTTGATTATAGAACTGAGTCATTCTTTTTTTAACAGGTTTTTGAAAGATAAATATATTGGGTTTTGAGATTAATGTGATAGAGATGAAACCACCTCAAGTTCAAGGGTTTTCAAGCTATGAAGCTCAGGATTATGAGGTTGAGGATGACAAGAAAAAAAAGGTTCATGAATAGCTGGTAAGACACCTAGGGTTTCCATTTCATTTAAGCTAAATGTTGTTTACTGAAAATATTGATTTCTCTCCCTCTCTCTCTCTCTCACAGCTATGATATCCTCTGGTTGCATGTATCCTTTTTCCTACATTGAGATAAATTTCTTGTGTTTGCAGTTGCTCTTGGGTTTATGACTGCTGTGCTTCCATTGACTGTTGTGAACATTTCCTTGATTGTATATGTTGCAATTATTGAATAAGTTTGTCCTTTTTACCTTGAAGAGAACCCTTTTCACAACTTTATGTTATGCATTTCTTCGATACTTTGTGTGTGTTTTTGTTTTCTTTCTTCTTCATGTAAATTAAAAGTTGGTGAATACTAGAAATGACGAACCCCTTCGTTTTTTTTTGTTGTTTGTTATTTTTTCTTTTCATTTTCTTACATATGGAAATGAAGCATGGGGAGTTTGAGCACTAATTCATAATTTATGTTTTGTGTTCATTTTCTACGAGGGTTCCTTTAGCCATGATTGCT